ATTGAGCAAAATTCGGATGGAAAATTTCAAAATTCAGGCGTAATTCTCCAGAGCGCTCTTTCAGCTCGCTACGGCTCGATGACTAGAGCAAATTATTTTGGTGGACAAGAAAACTCTATCCCTCCTCACATTGTTTCCATTGAACAAAAACTTTCCGAAGGAACGGGAAAGAGCGAATATTTCCCCGAATTTTGAGTGGGGTTTCAGGGGAAAATATAGTTCAATAGTTGTTAAAATGGGACTTCTATACGTTGTTGGAACATAAACTAACATTTGTCAAATATCTTTTATGTTCAGAACTTGATCAAGCAGTGACTTAGCAATAAAGATCGTTGCTGTTCAAACTACGGTTTTGTTCAGAGGGAAAGTGAAAAGAAAAGTTAATTCCTCGGCTATAGTTTCAATTTTCTTTTTGCAGGCCTTAGTTGAAAAATAATGTATTATACACAGCGTATACAGCGGTGGCCTCATGGTTAGTGCGCTGGACTCCGGAGCGAGCGGTCGGGGTTCGAACCCTGGCCGTGGACATTGCCTCTCTCCACTCAGGTGTTTAAATGGGCACCGGCGAATCTAATGCTGGGTATCCCATCCAGGGCGGAGTAGAAATACTCCTAGTCGCTTCATGCTACTGAAACCGGGATAAGCTCCGGCCTGATAAGCCACATGGCTCATATGCAGACTAAATATACAACCCAAGCATTTATGTATTGTTCTGTTTTGTTATTCGTGCCTTCTAGATTGTCAAAAGTTGTTTCTTTCAGTTTTTAAGCTGACTTTATTTAGCCGTCTCTGTTTTGTTCCTAACATGGTGCAATCGTGCATTCCGTCAGTATAAATAGAGTACATTTATTCTTATAATGCGATTTACATCTCTGCGATTTTTACATCGAAGAGTCATCGCGAAGTTACGAAGAATAAACGCGTGAAGTCCAACTGGTTCTCTGAGTGCCCTAATTCCAGTTGCAACAGATCCGACGGTACTTTGGAACCCGTGACAAGCTCCTCTCCCGAAGCAAGCGAGTTGCTCCGAGCTAATCGTTCCCCATGCGAGAGCAGTCGTCCAGCCAGTTAGGCCCCTCAAACGTCCGTTTCCCCCATTTAGAGATCAGAGCGAAAAAACTCGTTGTCACTGGGGGTGTATCGCCCAATTTCGGATACCCTAGTATTTCCGATCAAACTACATGGTGCCCTATTTTACCCTTGACCTCAATTTCTTGTTTTTCTTATGCACTACGCCCTAATTTCTGTATAAGAGGTAGTTTACCTTCAATTTCATCAGTCAATTCTGTGCGTAAATAATCTATAAATTGATTAATTATCCCGCGCTCAATGTACTTGGATCATCAGATACAGTGTTGCTAAGCCCTGGCCAAACGGACTCGTCAGTAAGTTCTCGCAAGTAGCCGCAAGTTGAACTTGCGTAGAGACTTACGTTGGTAGGACAAAGAGATTGGCAAATTTCCTTGCAAGTACACTCAAGTCGCAAAAAAAAAAAGTCATTTCAAACAGGCATATCCTGTATTTCATTGGTGGATAATAGGTTAATGAACCTCACTCAACTTGCGTTGACTTGGGTAGGGTGGCCAAAGGAGAAAAACTTGCGACGAACTTACGTGCAAATTTGATCTTGACCAAAGTGAGCGCAAGTTCACGCAAGCCCTGGCCAAACGGAGTCGCAAGTAGACCCAAGTTTTCAACTTGCATCTTCTTGCGAGTTCGTTCTGTCAGAGCCTTATTACTCTATGTCATTTTTCACAATAAGAGCAAAATATATCTTTTAAAATGTATCATTGTTACTTTTTTGTTATCTTAGGAGACCGCACATCCTTACGACGACTTTGGTTGTATTCCGAGCTTTCACACTTGTAAACGGACACAGGCTGAGAAGTGCTGCAGCGGAAAATGCAGGGTGGAGCTAGCATATGGCCGCCGCCGGTACAGGTGAACATGATGTCCACTAAAGTTCTTTTTATCTTTTATTCCAGAAACCTAGCGTCCGTTAGGATGGGACGGACAATTATTTTTTGAGGGAGCGTGATGGGTCGGGAGGGGGTGGGGGTTAGGCAATTCTCAGGGGCATGAAAAGTTTTGTCTCACTTTAAGGTTGTGTATAATTTAGATTTGGTTTGCAATGACTTATGCGCGAATTTTTTTAACATCAAAAATAGGACCTGGATAGCAAAAAGCACTTGCTCAATTTTTCCTCATGGCTCCCCTTAAACGGTTTCTTTTTTCAGCCAGTTTTGCTGTGCAAGATTTTTTTTTAAAATTTCCCAGCCCCTCTCCCCTCAAAAAAAATCAATGGTGGGCTCCGTATCGAGCACACTGTGTTCGAGCTCTGGTCGGCATCATTGCGTCGTGTTCTTTGGCAAAACCGCATTTAACTGCCACAGAGCCTGCCTGTCTCCACCCATGCGTGTAATTAAGTGGGGGGTAACCCTGCATCTCTTTTATAAGGGAACAGAAATACTTCTGGATACTTAATGCTACAGAAACCGGAATAAACTCTCGCAGTAAGAAGCACTACTGATAGTTGACCCAGCTGAAATTCACTTTACCTCCTAGAAGATCCCCATTTGAACTTAACTTTTAAATAAATAATATCCTTTAAAGAAACCTGTATGCTTTCAGGATAGTAACCAAGACAATGAGAACGAAATCAATTCTCTTGAGATAATTAATTAATTAACAAATGGCAAACGCCATAGCGTACGCTATTGAATTATGGATGCAGGCGGGAGGTTGCTAAGCACAAAAGAAGTGTAAGAGTCGCACGAGGCGATAGCCGAGTGCAACTTTTGATTGCTTAATTAGCAAACCTCCCAAGTGCATCTATAACTCAATAGTGTACAGCTGTGGCGTTAACCAGTTGTGTTTAACATAACATTAATACATTGGAGCAAAAGAATTCCTTTTATTGAGCTACATCACATTAGCTTACACGTCAGCAGCGTACACCCAGGGGCAATTAGGAGAGACGATGAATTCACCAATCAAAGCGCGCGCTTTGCTTTAGTTATGTTATAAATGTTTTTAGGATCGTTTTTTCACCCGCTAGACATTAAAGAAGAACTTGATGGTGTCCTAGCTATTTATGAGTTGACAAATAATTTTTTTATGAACTCCTCTCCCACACCTTGCAAAAAAGCACTCGAAACTCACTGGAACTAATTCCCATAACCCTGAAATAAATTATGTAGTTTAAAAGAGCATGGAACTACCAACTTTTACTCTGATTTTTACCGTGTTGATCCACCCTCACCTCCTCCAACGCGGTCATCAAGATGCCGTTATAAACCGTATATATGCCTCCAGCTATCGTGGCATAAGGAAACTAAGTCACTCGCTCTGTCAAATACAAGCAGCGCACGATTTGCACGGCCAGGAATAAGATCACATATGATTGATCTTTGCTGGTCGAGTAGAAAAATATATTTTTAATTACATTTACTTTAGCTTAGAATAATAGTGTGAAAATGTTTGCCTTGCAGCATCCAAGGTCATTGCACTTAGCGGAAAACAGACATGCACCATGCAAGTGACAACATCGAGGAAAATGAAAACAGGACACGTAAAATGGCTGCCAGTTTAAGCAAGGCTCTTTTAGTTTGCTTTTAGATTAATTTTGAAGAAAAATTAAGTTTAACTTCGTCATGAATTACTTTTACATTTTCAAATTTTAGATTTTTTCGTGTTTTTCTCTTAAAAAATTGTACTTGAATCATTTTTGATTATTTTTTTCCTACCTTCGTGACATGCCTGGAAATTAGCTTGGTACTTTTTGTAAGACGCACCGAAACGTAGCTAAGCTTAAATTCTAGCGTTACAGTAAAGTTTTATCTCATGCGTTATATTATAAAACGCTGAGGAATTAATATGATCAGTAGAGGTTTAAATCTCAGAAATCTGCTGCTCATTAAAAGTGCTTTCATGATGCATATAATTTGTGTCGACTTCTCTTTTCTTGCTGTTTGTCTCTCCTCCAAATTTTTCTCCTTTCAAGCACTGAGCAACCTTGCATTGTTCTCTTATACCGAAAAATTAGCTGATCTCATCGAAAAGGCAATTTAAATGCAATATCTCTTAGTACTGTTAACCTTTTCCTCAAACTCGCTCTTGAGTCTCGAAGAAAAAGAAAGCAATTGTCAATTGTTGTATTTGTTATTCACTAATTTCGTTACTTTCGTTGTATTTGTGGACCTTATACCCTTTTTCTCTGAATTGTTTTGAATTTCACAAATTTTTTCACAGATTTGTTTTAAATTTTCATTCAAGCTCTGTTCAGCTCAAGTTTGATTTTTACAATAACTGTCTAATTTCCCGCGCGCTGATTGGCTCATTTTTATCATCAATAAGTGTACGGACGGATAAAATTTTAATTTATGCAAGCTTTTAAGTTAAACTTGCAGCTGTCAAACTGTCAGCTTTTCAACCAATGATATCTTATGGACTTTTTAAGTAGCCAATCAAACTGCGAGAAAACCTATTGACAATGTTCACGTCAGTTTGAATAAAATTCAGTTATCTTTGTTTACGGCAAGTTTACGGCGTCTTTTCCCCTCATTTATCACGGCATTTGGCCATTTTGGGGTCTTGCTATTGTCAAAAAAAAATTGACGTCACTTTTTTACGCGTCTGTCCTCTTATTGATGATAAATTTCGTCATAACATTGGCAAAGTTTACTACGGAACCACTCGCCGGCCTACGGCTCGTGGTTCCACACCACTTTGACAATGTTATGACGAAGTTTATCATCAATAAGAGGACAGACGCATAAAAACTGACGTCGATTTGTTAATTTTCAATCAGATGATTTATTTTTACACCAAACAATAAAACGTTCTCTTTTTTTGCAACTGTTCTCCTGATAACCTTTCATTTCTGGACACGAATCGGAAAGTAGTCGAACTCGCTAAAACCTTCGTTACGTCCAGAAAGCGCTACAACTGGAGCACTCTTGGAAGCTCAACCTTGCTCTCAGAGCCCTGGGAACGAGGTTGCGCGATTGCGGGAGGCTGGTGCTGGGAAGTTTGTTGCCAAGTTTCCTAACTTTTTTAACAAGGGCGATATCGAGCCTGCTGCTCGGTTGACCAGAGTCCGCGTTCTTGGTGCTGACCAAAAGAAAAGCGGATTCTGGGGACGAGATTGTAACTAGGGGAATGAGTATCATCGATATGCGATAAGGAACAATGATGCCCTGAGCGACTGTTTCTGTAACTGTTTCTAAGTAACGAATGTTTGAACGAGTCATCCTGGCTAAAGGTCAATAACTTACGGAGTTTTCATGTTTTCATGCAATCAGCAGGAGCGATTTACATTTAGTGTCACTTTTAATACACGATCTCAAGTTCCCCTCCCCGGCCAAAATCCCATTTCTCCCTGCATGCCCCGCAGCCCAATCTTCCCCAAGCCCCCCGCTACTCCGCGCCTGTGGCGGCAAAGGTTACCAAGCCTAACACGTCAGAGAGGTTCTTTCAAAATCCGAACACGATGGCTGACCAGAAATATGTTGTCTAATTTTCGTAGTGATAAATATAGAGTCTACTGATTACTCAGATGCCTATGACTTCACTACCATTAAATGGCCTTTTACAGTATAGTGTAAATCTGGAGATCGCTTCGAAAAACAAGTCCCTCAGGAAGAGAGTGAAGAGCGCCACTAAAGGCGACGAAGAAAATCAAAGTTCAAAAATGGTTCCGAAAATCGCGGTCGTTTTGAACGACGAAGAAGACATAAACGATGATGGCTTTGGACAAAGACATAATATGTCGAATACATGGACCGAAAAAGATGACGTTGAATTTAACGAGGGAACAATTCGAAACAAGCATAACGGCGACATTGCTGCAACACACGGAATACTAAATGGTGACGTTTTTCCGAGCTCCGATCAACGTAGCCCGTTGCTGGGTGAACACAACGACGATGAACTTCAAACTGAAATAGCAGAAACAGGAGATACTAGATTTGAGGAAGGATCTTTTAGTATTGGGTTACAGGTTTTCTTTCCTTTTCTAATTGCTGGCTTCGGGACCGTGTCGGCTGGTATACTGCTTGATGTTGTTCAGGTAACTAAAATCTTCTTTTCACAGGATCAACTTAC